TGGACTTCTCTTATGAAGTCAGATGCGAGGAGCTTCTCGACCTCCTCGTCGACCGCTTTCCACCGCTCTAGGGCTAGGTTGTGTTTCTTTTGTCTAACGGGCCTAACTACAGGATCAGTATTCAGCTTATGAGTTATGAGTTCGGGGTCTATACCGGGCATCTCTGCCGCGGACCATGCAAAAATATCTAGACTTTGAATTAAGAAGCTTACCACTTTGGAACATAAAGGCTCCTGGACGGAAGCGCTGATTTAAAGCGTCCGAGCTGGGTCTGCCGCTGAGGTCGGGACTGCGACTGTTTCTTCCGTGGGCGCGGCTCGTTCTTCGCCTTGCTCCGTAGGCCGCTCCAGTTCGAAGTCATTGGCCACCTTGGTCTTTCCCTTCAAGGCAGCGACATAGCACTTACGGGACTTGAGTTGGTCGCCCCGTGCTACCCCCACACCGAAGTCTGTTGGGAACTTCATAGCCAAATGGTAAGTGGAGACCACCGCCCGTAGGACATGTGTGATCGGTCGACCTATTATGGCATTGTAGGGGGAGGGGATCGCGACCACCAAGAAGTCGTGTTTGAATCTGACCACACAAGGCCATGTGCTAACTTCCACAGGTACTGTTATTTTCCCAAGGGGTCGGACTTCTTCTCCGCTGAAGCCCACCAAAGGAGTGTCCGTAGGCTTCAGGTCGCTTCTCTACAACTGAAGCTGGTCGAACGCAGCTTTGAAGAGGATGTCGGCCGAGTTGCCTGATTCAATGAGTACGCGCCTGACCTCAAAGTCGTTGATTCTTAGCTTTATTACGAGCGCGTCATCATGGGGATAGTGGACCCCTCGCGCATCATCTTCCGTGAAGAAAATTGGCTCTTCTGTCCTCGGCCGCTCTGGGGGGTTCTGCTCTTCCCGGGTGTTCTCACGAACTGACGCCCGAGCTGCTGCTGAAGTGCAACCCGCAATGACCGAACCTCCCACTATCATGTGGATGGTTCCCCGAACTGGCCTCTCCTCCGGAGGCTGCCTCTGTGGTTGTTCGGCCGGCCTAGTGCTGGACTCGGGAGCATCCTTACCGTGCTTCCTTGCCAACTTGTTTTACTACTATTGTTATTATTGTTTTGTACAAAGTTTCTCAAATATCCGCTACGGATGAGCTCCTATATCTCGTCGCGGAGGTTTTTACAACTCTCGGTACTGTGGTCGTAATCTTTGTGAAAACTACAATACAAATTCTTATTTCTCTCATTGGGATTCCCCCTCAAACGGGGTGGCCACTTTACGTACGGGGCATCCTTGATCGCCATCAGGATTTCAGCCCGCTTTGCGTTCAGTGGGGTGTAATCAGCTCGGTCCGCTACAGGAGCTCGGAACAATTGACCCGGCTTTGCCCCCCGAGCAATATCCTTTTTCTTTCGGTTGTCCCCTTGACCGGAAGGCTCTCCTTCCCTCTTTCTTTTTTCGGGCGCGCCCTCACCCTTTTGGTTGATCTCCTCTTCAGTGGCTATGAACCTGTCCGCGAGCTTCAGAAACTCGGTTATGGTCGYTGGWTGGTTGACGACCATGTGYCATTTGAACTCTTTGTGTGTCACGCCTTTCTTGGCTGCTGCAAGGCGTACGGCAGGGTCTAGGCGTGGTATCTGCATACAAGCATCGTTCAACCGCTTGATATAGCCCCGGATGGACTCTCCCTCTCTCTACACTATGCTGAGGAGGCTTTCTTCAGTTCGCGGGCACCGTTTGCTGGTGACGAAGTGGAACRTGAAGGCCTGCGCGAACTGCGCCCAACTTCTTATTGATCCAGGTGCCAAGTTTCGGTACCATGTACGGGCTACTCCCCTGAAAGTAGTGGAGAAGGCCACGCACATGCACGACTCACTGACTCTCGCCAGGTGCATCTGTGATTGGATGGCGTCTACGTGATCATTTGGGTCAAACGACCCATCATACTTGTCAAGAGAGGGGAGCTTGAAGTCTTTGGGCATTGGGACTGCCAGGAGTTCGGAAGACAGGGGGGATGGAACTGAGAGGAGGGGAGCTTTGACTTTGGCCAAGCTTACCTCTTCTTTGCCCCCGAGCTCGGGCAAATCGCGGGTGACAGATCGGCGAGTTCGGCGGCGGCGTCTCTACTTCTTGGTGGGCTCGGCGTTCATGCTGCTCACCTCTGCGTTGTCTGGAATGGTTTGTGCAGGAAGTAGCCTGGTCCGCTGGTGATGGTTGCGGACAGAGGGATCCTGCTTGGATTCTGTTGCCAGGATCTCGAACCGGTTCTCAAGGAGCGAGGTTTCACACTTCGACTGCCGAGGTGATGTAGACCTGACGAGCTAGGGTCCTCTCGACCTGTCCGCCCGCGGCGAGACCGGGGTAGCCGGTTTCTCTCGTCTGCCGCGGGAGGAGGCCTGGTTTTTTAGGGGGTTTTGGGGGGCCTCTCCTTGGCCGGAGGGGCGCTCATCCTGGCGGCGAGACCTAGCTTGCTACGAGGCTGGGTGCCGAGGCAGGAACTACGGCTGCTGAAGCTGAGGTTGAGGCAGTTGGGGGAACTGCTGCTGGTAGTGGTACTGGGAGACGTGGTGCAACACTTGCTGCTAATAGAGTTGGTGTTGTTGGAGCTGTTGCATTTGCGCTTGCATGGCCCACATGCATTGCACCAGGTCGTCAAGCTGGCTCTGGCCGGTTGCCAGAGGAATAACAGTTGGTTCAGCAAAGGTTGTTTCCACAGAGGAAGGAAGGGGAACATCCACAGGCGCTGTCGCTGGTGGCACGTTTAGGCTGGGGACTCCATCCACCGGGAGAGGAATGGTGAACTATCCTATGCAGACCGTGGGAACCTGGGGTTGTTCCCTGGAGTTATCCATCTCTATACTTCTTCCAATGTTGCTTAAGGAAGCCATGAGTGTTGAATTTTTTCAAGGAAGGAAAGAACTGTGAAAGTTTAGAGAGAATGGCCTTTTGAAGCGTTTCCCACAGACGGCGCCAAATGATGTAGCGCGATCCGGTCACTCCTAGCTGGCACTCACGTGGCTCCTGAGAGGTAGCTGAAACGAAGAGGAAGAAGAAGAATTCCCGGGGGGGGGGG